AGTGGATTGATGCCATGCATAAAGAAATAAAGTTCAAAAGTAACAATGATGTTTAGGAATTCATCATATTGCATGAAGGTGTGAAACTCATTGGTTGTAATTTGATGTTTAAAACTAAGAGGGATTCGAAGGGTAATGTGGAGAGTTATGATGCTTGTCTTTTTGAAAATGGCTTTACTTAAAAAGAAGACATTCTCATTAAAGATATTTTTTCTCCAGTTTTTATGAAAGACTCTTTTAGGACAATTATGGCATTTGTGATACATTTTGATTTTAAGTTATATCGGATGGTTACGAATTAAAGAAATACATCTATGACTTAAGCTGGTATCTCATTTGATTTTGAGATGAATTCAGTTGATGATTGTGGATATCACAAATTCAGATGTAGTAAGCATATTTTTTGGTATTGTATGTCGATGACATACACATATAGCTTGTCTGCAATGATATAAACTTATTGTGCGAAATCAAGAAATTTATGTCATGGAATTTTGAAATGAAAAAAAAATCTTGGTGATACCTCTTTTGTATTAAGGATATCGATATATAAGAATCGTTCTTGTTATATTTTTAGATTACCACAAAAGAGTTGTATCGATAAGTTCTTAAAAGATTTGAAATGCAAATATGGAATTCAGGTCATACCCCCTATTGCTAAGTGAGACAATGTTAGTCTCAATTAATGCCTCAGAGATAAATTTAAAGAAAAATAATACGTGAAATTCTCTATGCTTCAGCAATTGAGAATTTAATGTATACTCAAGTTTATACACATTTGGATATATCATTCACTGTTGGAATGCTAGGTAAATATTTAATTAACTCTAGGATGGAAATTTGAAAAGCAACCATGAGATTATTCAGTATCTATAGAAAACTAAGAATTACATGATCACATCCAGGAAAATCAGACAAATGGAGATCATTGGATTTTCTGATTTTGATCATGGAATATGACTGCAACATATTGTCATAAGGTTGCATATTTTGGATGGATTTGAAAGACAATTTTGACAATAGCAGTCTTGTATTCCAACAGAAACCCGATGATGTCAAAGTTTATAAACATTAAGTTCCTAATTGTCAATGAAAGAAATCAGAGTGGTTAGATTTCTATAAAGTATATAAAGACAAACTCCATAATCATGGATCCATGTACTAAATGACTGTCACTTAAGGTCTTTAATGATCAAAATACTCATATTTGTGTTGCATCTTTTGATGATATGACAGTTTAGTGGGAGTTTGTATTTGAATGTTGTCCATTTTAAACACTTTTTTATCCATGGATATTCGGTTT